CTATGAGTCGGGTTTGACTCAACGGCACATAACAACAACATGATAACACTTAACACTACATAAAAACCAAACCAAACTCACTGCCATCATGTCGATTCTGACTCGTAGCAACCCCTCCTTGGATTTCTGAGGTGGTATCTCTACAGAAGTAAATTGCCCAGTCTTTCTTCTGAGGAGTGACTGGTGTGTTTGAACCACCAGCATTCTGGTTAGTAGTCAAATGCCTTAGGCACTACACCACCACAGCTCCCTTAGTACCACATAGCAGTTTACCATGTCTAAGCCCTTTTGCTTTTTAACTCATTTGTAACTATTACAATAACCTGTTGAGGCAAGTCTGTTATCTCTGCTCTACAGAGGAGAAAATTGAAGTACAGAAGAGTGAGTGACTCGTCCAAGGGGACACAGTATGTGCCAGAGCTCAGGTTCAGACCCCAGTAGTTTTGGCTCCAGTATTTGTACTTATACTCCAGCACTTAAATGAAGGCCTGGTCTTCAAGGAGCTCTTTTTCTGGGGTAGAGCGAGAGACAAGTTCATACAGTCAGGCTGGGTTTGTGAGTTTAGGTAGAGACCACAGTTCTGTAGGTGCTGGAGTGATAGAAGTGTTCATCTTCCAGGAGAAGGAGCTGAAAAGGCTTTTTGGAGGAGGTGGCATTTGAAGAATGAATAAGTATGCACCAGGCAGAAGGGATAGCAAAAGCAAAGACTCAGAGGTATAGAGTGAAGTAGGAAGGATAGTAGGGCCTTACCTTCCTTCTCCTTCCTCTGGCCCAGCTCCGAGGTGACACACGTGGTGATGGAGCAGACCTCAGCAGTGGAAGCTGTCTGCTGGCAGGAGCGCAAGGCAATGACTGCTCCCTCAGATCGGACCCCCTCAACACTGCTGGACATGAGCTGGTTTACAGAAAGCATGGCTGCTGGGCAGCCTGTGCCTGTGGAATGTCGGCACCTCCTAGAGGTGAGCAGGGTGCAGGATCAGAGATGGGGCCACAGAGAAACCCTTGGTGCAGGGAGATGTGGCAGCAGCGTCATAGTGTCCTTCAGATAAGGTGAACAGTACAGGTTCTGCCCCAGACCACTACGGGCCTTCAGAAGCCAATTATGGGACTACAAGAGGGCTGGGGTTGACTGGTAATCCCTCCCCAAAGGTCAGGTAATCCAGTGTTCATTCTCAGCATTGGTGTAATCTCTTTGGCATTTCCCTTATTTTTAGCATCTTCCAGCCCTTCTCACCAAGTGGTTGAGGCTGACCCCAAGTGAGATGACCCAAGGGTTAGCAGGAGCCCATCCCTGGATGCTTTGAGGTTCATAGCCTCTGTCCTACCTCAATGCTCCCCAGCACAGCAGAGCTGGGGTTGCAAGTGCAGGCTCAGGAGCCAGGCTGCCTCTTTTAAAATCCTTGTTCTGCCTCTGAGGTATGGTGCATGTGCCCTAACCTCTGAAGCCTCAATGTCCCCATCTGAGTCCCCAGCCCACTTGATTGGGAGGACATGGAGAGATGAAGCACACATCGCAGTATTGCAATAGCAGGAAGGGTGCTTTGTGAGCGTTAGCAGTCATTGTCACTACTGTTCCTAATGCTCTTATCTGGTCAGCAGGATTGTGCCTCCCTTTGCCCCAGGCCTTGGATTATTTTATTTATCCTCTCAGAGTCTGTGCACTCTGTTTTATAAGCCCAAGAGCCTGAGAGTGGTCACACCAGGAGAGGCAAGGCACTTGGGTGCTGCCTGATTCCTTTGCTGGCATGTCCCATATTTTTTACATATGATACACCCATGTAAATAATGCACAAGCCGGCTGCACAGTTTTCAAAAATATGTATAGCATGTGCATTATTTATGTAAAAATATGGTGCATTGTTCTGGTTACCTAGTACCACTCTAACAAAAATACCACAAATGGGATGCCTTTAACAAACAGGAGTTTATTCTTACAATTTGGAGGCTTTAAGTCAAGTTCAAAGTGCCAAGTTCTAGGGGCTAGATAAAAGCCCCTCAACCTTAGGCTTCAGCTCTGCCTCCTGCTCCTGGCCCACTGATGCTAGAAGCTTTCTTCACTCAGACAGCTGCTGGGTGCTGAAACTGGCAAGCCCAAGTTTTACAAGCAAAAAGGCATGGTCCCAATGTTACCAAACCACACAGCAAGTCATTAATTCAAGTCCATTGGAAGTCCCAAGGTCGGCAGAGCATGGCAGGCTGCTAAATAATGACACAGCTACATGCAGGGTTCAAGTATGCCATATGTTAGAGACTATCCTTATATACTTATATATAAGTCTTCTCCTTATGTATAGGAAGCAGATCACATCCCTAAAGCAGCTACTCAGCTGCTTGTGGTAAATCCTACCATGGAGCTGACTGCCAGTCCCATCATTAGGAATCACTACCACCAGTTGCCCAGTCACTAAACCAGGACCAACCAAGTTGACATCAACCTTAACTACCACATGCATCATGCCCTGCATGCAAATCTGGGCCCTGCTGGTCCTGTGACTGCAGTGACCCATGCATTGCCCATCCTCAGGTAGCCAAGCCCAGGATGGAGTTTCCCAGCCCAGCAGGGGTGCCGCCCTATGCCTGCCAGCGTTCTACGCCCCTCACCCACCACAACACCAGCCTCTCGGTGAGCCATGGGTCCATAGCCTCCCTGAGATGGGGTGTCTGCCCTATCCCAGCCCTGAGGATGGGGGATATGGGTACATGGTGGGTGGTAATTCAAGAGTTGGGGCTTGAGGCAGCCTACCCACCCTGCCCCTGACCAAGGATTTCTCCCTACAGCTGGCTTTGGAGACACTGGCAGAGGCAGCAGGCTTCGAAGGCAGTGAAGGCCGCCTCCTTGCATTCCGCAGGGCAGCCTCTGTGCTCAAGTCCCTCCCCAGCCCCATCAGAGCCCTGAGGCAGTTACAAGGGCTTCCCCACTTTGGAGAACACTCCTCAAGAGTTGTCCAGGTCAGTGCTCACCACAATGAGCAGGGCACAGCTGTGAAAAGGCCTGATCTGGATTCAAGTAGATGGGTGTGAGGATCATGGGCCTCTCTCCTGGGGAGTCCTTTGAGCCTGGATGGCACCCCCTAAAAGGGATGGTGGCTTGGTGGTTCAGAGCCCTGCTATGAAGGCAGACTGACATGTATACAAATGGTGACTCCAAGACCTTTGATAAAATGCTGAGCTTAGATTCCTTCACTGTTCTACACTGGGGACACTCCACTTACCTTAGGACATTGCTCTCATCATTGTCACTGTCAGTTCTAAACTTCCCAGAACTATTAGAAGAAAGCGACCAAGTAGGAGCACCACTTATTAAAATACAAAACATTTGAGGACCCAACACATTTAAGTTGTCCTCTTGTACACTTGAATTGCAAAGATATGTGGTGATGAAAAGATACTATTAAATGCTTTAAAAGTTGTGCTTTTGAATGAAATTGTGTGGAATCTGTCACATATATTTGACTAGTGATTTTCTGTGTATTGCGCATCTTGTTTTTTGTCTGAAAGATGATTCATTTGACCTGGACTCTCAGCTGTAATTCCAGGCCCCAGTGGATTTGAGCCTCACAGGCTGAAGCCCTTGCCCCCTCTAGGTGTGTGGCAGCAGCTTTGTTTATCCTCCCTGGCACAGCCTCCTGCTTCCTACAGCCTCCATTTCTAGGGCCTGCCAGAACCATAGACCACAAAGCCCCTCTGTGGATGCTGGAGGGAAATGCCATAGTCCTCGGGCCCCAGCCCCACCTTGACATCTGTTCATTTCTTTCTCCCTAGTCAAGCTTCCATAGTGCTAGATGTATCCATTGTTGTTGTTGTTATTGTTATTTGCCATCGAGTTGGCCCCGACTCATAGCGACCCCTCTTTGGGTTTCCGAGGCAGTATCACTACGGAAGTAGGAATGCCCAACCTTCCTTCCGAGGAGTGGCTGGTGGGTTTGAACTGCCAGCCTTCTGGT